CAAAAACTACATTATCAGTGAATCCTGTTGCCAGTTAATTCCTGTCTTACAAAATTTGACTTCAGTTCCCTACCAAGTTTTGCTCAACTTTAGGCACCTTTGCTAACACTTCCACTGCCTTATTTGTCCAAAGATGAAAGTCTGGCTTGGCAAATAGGCTATGCCTGAGGATAGAGAGTATTTCCTCTGGTTCCAAAGTATCAGTAATTCCTGCTGTCTGTGTGAATTTAGTCTAATTCCCCATGCATGGAATTCCTAAAGGCAGTGCAGCAGAGTTATACCAGGCATATTCAAAGAACAGAAGAATGTAAGAAATGTGTGGAATTGTATCCTAATACAGCCAAACTCTACATGTATGAATCTATGGGCACTCTCACAGTCTTCGTGAGAGGGAATTCATATACTTAAAAGATTTTCCAGGAGAGTTTTATGGACAGAAATCAGGGAAATAGTAGAGATGATGTTACCGTCTGGCAAAGTACTAAATAAAGAAAGGAATAAAGAAATAATTCTCTTGATGAGGTTCAGTAGTTAGCCATATACTTATATTTAACAACTGAAGCAGACTGGCAATTAAATGAGAAATTTCTGGAAAGCATGTTCAAGAGTTTACATGTTTAAAACTACTGCTGCATGAGAGAAACCTTTGCATCCCTAATCACTAGATGGACCAGGTTTCTGACCAAGAGGGAAGTAAGCAGATATGCTAATTAAATATATGACTGCAATTTTCATTTTAAACTTCATGCAAGATTTTTTTTTTATATATATATATATATAATATATATATATACACACACACACACATATATACAAGCCATTTGTTCCATTACTGGTGGGCAGTCTGAACTCTGATCTCTCAAAGCTATGGATCAAATAAAAATTCTTATTTGGAGGTAAGAGCCTTGTCTTAGCAAAACTGTGCATAAGACCCTGCAGCAATCTCAGATAAGATTTAAATTTGACACTACAAGCAATTCTCAAATACTTCCACGGAACACTGTGTTAGATGATTAGGCTTAAGGTAGTTTAGGCTTTTTCTACTTACAGCTCCTCTTGGCCCAACTGATATCATGACTGGTCTTTCCCTAACCACACTGAAGATGGGAATGCTCTACTAGAAAGGTTGTTCTAGCACTGGTAGAAGATGCATTTCATGTGTGGGTAGATGAGGAGGACCAACATGATCACTGTCTCCTTGAGAAGCTCTTGGAGGTGCAGACTTGTCCCTCCCTAGAGGGTTCTTCTCTCTCGCTTCTGAATAGCTGAATTCCTGAGAGCACGAGAATTCATCATCCCCCATATGGACCGTGAGCTACCATAGTTTCTTCTCTACGTTGATCATATGGAGCAAATTCAGCCAAAATGGATCGTTTTGCAGCCTCCCATCATACCTGCTCAATATTTCACAGAGTAACATCAGAATTTACTAACCCTTCTAGGCATGAGACATCCCCACAGAAATGCTGTCAAAAACACTGCCAAACGACTGGCATTGTAAATTCCCACCTAGACAAATGCTCAGGTAAGCACTGTATTGCTACATGCTTGACCAAAACACGCCTCACTATGCAAGGTGCTTTCTACAAACTTGCTGTATTTCTTCTTGATTTGATCAAAGCAATATAAATTGCTAAGAACATGCATAAATAACAGATTTTTCCATGTATTTATTTTCCATAACCCTAGCATTTGCTAGGAACAACAATACATTGTGTTTTATTGTGTCAAAATGCTTATGCCGCAGCTATCGCTGGGCTGCGTGTCTGTGCATGTATCGCCTGGGTGTTGATGAAAACAGCTGCATGTTTTCCATTGTGTTATGGTAGACATGATAACACCACCTCTAACCAATCTCTTCTTCAGTGTCTTACCAAGAAAGCTGGCGGTTTTCCTACTTAACTTGCTTTTGAAATCCCCCTTCCAGTAGCTGCTGCTGTTTGACTGGAGAGAGCCACATGCAGCCCACATGGACGCAGCTGGGGCAACTGCCCAATTTCTTGCCCAGGATCTGCTGCCCTGCTGGGGGCTCTTGGCAAAGCAAGGCAGGCGTGTGTGCCCACGTGCCAGTACAAAGTGTAGCATGGCAGCTTTAACTGCAGAGTTAACAGGAGGGTGAGCTAGCACACAGTGGCATGCATTGGGTTGACTGAGTCACCAGCAATTCCTTCCCTCGTTGAACCTGGGAACAAGCACTGAAAATAGCCTGGGAGGCAAAAAAACGAAAAAATTTTGCCAGAGGGGGAGAGCAGTAGAGAGGCAGAGCACTCCAAAAGCAGGGAGGAGAGAAGATGGGCTCTCCTGCGGCCCCACACCTTCCCCCAGCTCCATCTGATGTCCTCAGGTGGCCACTAACAAGATGCGCAGGAGCCAACCTCGCGCTTGCAGCCTGCACACGGACAGCAGAACTGACCTCAGAAGCTTTCCCCCCCTGAGGGTTGAAGACTTAGCGCCATGTGAGCTTCAGAGCTTTCCCCCTGGATGCAGAAAGATCCTCGGGCTGCCAACACACACAGAAATCAGGCGAATAACCTGACAGATCTATGGTGGCCTTACACAAGCACATCGTTACGTGTTGTGCTGAGGGACATGACTGCACACCTGCTGGTGGCAAAAACAGCTCTGCTGCCCATACATATGAGTAATTACTAGTTGAACCAGAACTAATTCTGCAAAGAGCTATAGCAATTGTTAGCCAAATTGAGTCTGCCATGGCAGATGCTAAAATAATTGCTCAGGGGGTTTGCAGGCCATATCTAAGCAGTTAATTCATTACAAGTGTAATGTGCAGGCTGGCAATGGAAGAGCAGACAAGATGATGGTAAAAGGAGCAGCGCCCTTCCCTTGAACAAGCACTAGTGCTCTTCCACCTCACCTCCTATTTCCCTACTCCTCTCAATGATTCCTGATTCAGTTAATGATCAGAACTGCAGATATTCAGTTACTGTTATTGCCAAACACATTTCCCAGTGTCCTGGGCTGGGAGAAGCAGAGTATTTTGCCAGTGAATATTGTTGCCATCATTCCTGTAATCAAATAAGGAAGTCACCGCCCTGCTGTAAATCTTTTGCATGAAAGGAGTAGAACATTGTTTAACTGCTGTGACAGATACTGGATTCAACTGGCAAGCGCATTTCAGTAAGCAAGTTATCTTGTTTTTGCTTCCTCAAACATTCACACAGGTCATACTGACTGGCACAAATGTTGACAAGAATGTCTGCAAGTACTTGCAGGAACAAAAAATTATATTCCCCAAGTAGGGCTTTTCCACAAAGGGTACTTGTGTGCTTTTAAGCTCCAGGGGAGAAATGCTCCTAGGTGATACATTTCACAAGTGGTAACGAACCCTTGACTCTACAGGGTTGTAATTCCCAACTGAGCAACAGTCATTTGTGTTCACCCAAGTCCTCCAAGGGGAGGTTTCATAGAACGTCAGTAGCAAACAGGTCACATTCAGGCTCTATGCAAGGMAGCAAACACTACTGCAGAAAAGGGAACCACTTGAAGGGAAAAGAGCAATTGTTAGAGCTGCATTTGCTTTGCATTATTCTCCAGGTTTTGAATGCAGACTCTTAAAAGTGCTCTGTCCCTAGGCGTTGATTACTTGTATATTTGCACCTCCAGAACACAGGTGYAAAGCAATGCAGCAATACAATTTAATTTAGTGCAACTGGCTGTAGAAGAAACAGTGCTTGACATAAACCAGATAAAAATAAATATTAAACAAATATACACCTGAGTGCTGCATACAGAGAACTTGAGGGTGCTTATAAGCTTGGATGCAAAAGAAAACAGTAAAGTCAGCTTTATGGCAAGTTACCAACCTTGCTCATGGTGAATACATCCTAACTTCACAAAGCACATAACTCCCTTACAGCTCAGCTTGGTAAAGAAGAGAGAATCTATGACCAAATCTGAAATAATAAGGGTTTTCTATGGGTGTTATAGGGAAACTCAGCAAGGTTCGGTGGGGAAAACAAGTTTTAAGGCATGCTCCAAATTACATATGGTTTTATGAACCACATTCTCTTGGATTGCTTCTGGAAGTGACAGCAATGGGTATAGTGGCAGAGACATGAAATGGGCCCATTTCTACTGAATGAAGAAACAGGCCTCTACATARCCTGGCCTGCTGAATTTTTCTTAGTGGTCCTGGGAAACTTAATTTGTCCCTCCCCCACCCAGCATTTTCTACAAGATGTTTAAACATCTGTTTTTCATTGTAACAGTCATCATCACAAAATCATAATGAAGAAAATTAGATGACTAGTTAGCTGATTAATGGCCCACCYGATTGTCATGCTCTAAATGAATCATTTTTTACCTCAAACACTGCTCTGAGCAACCTTYTGTGATACCAGAGATGTCCAAAAACAATGACACTATTTAGAGCCTGGCACATTTAGAGCAAGGCAGTTTCCAAATATCCGTGCAGTAACCTCCTCCCTAAACATCTGCAAAAAGACAGCATACTCTGCCATGCAAATAATAGTTAAAACCAAGTATGAAGCACTTTCAAAAYGGTAAGAGTTGTAAAAGAACTGTTTCTGAAGGCTTTATACCAAATGCACTTGCTTCCACATAAACCCAGAATCAACAGAATGGTTAAGGTTGGAAGGGACTTCTAGAGATCAAATGCCTGGAGAAATTAGAAAAACACAAACTGAAAAATATTCCAGTTTGGGCAGCACCTAGCAGATCTCCAAAACAAAAATTCTGAAAACTGACGTTTGTTACACAGGTTTTTCCAGGTCTGTCACTCGACCTGATTTTGAGAACTGAGCTYTTATTAAGTCTTCAAGTATATACAACATAGGTGCATAGGAGATGCATCCTGTGGATAGACACTGTCTCCTCAAGTCACTGCTTGATGAACTCCATGCAGTAGCTTGGAAATGAGCACACAGATTTGAAACACATGTACTAGCCAATGTTTGAAATATGCTACACTGTTCTACATACTTATTCGATGTTTTCCCTACAAACAAGAAGCAACAGACCTTACATTAGGGTCCTGCAGGCTGGAGGTCTTACTGGGATTTACAAAAGAGGTCTCTTCTTTCACAGCCTGTTAAAAGAAAGAGACAAAGTTTAGTAATTGTGTGCCTGTTGCACTATTTAAAAAAAAAAAAAAAAAAAGATCTGCAAGCAAAATGCAATGTTCAAAATACCTATTCTGAACTGATTTAATAAGCACAGTTGTTCTTTTATTGCCTTCTACTGTTGGCATTCACTTTGATAACCTCCAGTTAGTCTGTAGAGCAATAGTGTCAGAAAGAGATTAGGTTGCAATAAAGCAGAAGAAAGGAAGGAACAGTGTTTTCTCCAGAAGGCATTTTCTTCCAGAAGGCATTTGAGCAGAACTACAAAAACTAATAAATAAAAATACAACATGCTGATAGTTGTTCTTTTAATTAACATAAATATCTAACCTAATCAGAAGCATCAYGCCAACTCTCACAGCTTCTCATTCAGTCTTTGAAAAGTTAAAAGTGGGACCCCTACATACAGTTGCACCATACATGCAGTTCACAGAAAGCTTCACACAACACTGCTTCCTGCTAAATTACAGAGCCCTGTCTCTAAAGTAGGAAATACTACTGCTGCAAAACAGTTTGCATGAAAATTGCTCAACAACACAGGAAACATGCCCAACTTGGGCAAGTGTTGGTAAATAATATCTTCAAATGAGTCACAGGATTCCACATGCTATATTTAAAGAGCAGCCTCAGCAAAATATTGTACCACTAGATAGAAAATACCTGTTGAAGACACAAGAGTATCTCCAGACCAGTAATGGATTTGGCAGGCTCTAACATTTCCATTCTGCTGAATGGAAAGGAGAGAGCTGATACAGGCTGACAACAGAGTGATTTTTCAGTGCTCAGCATTTGTGCCATGATGATTTAACGACACTGCTTCCAATTAAATTGAATTGTGTGTCAGTCCCATCATCTTCAAAATAAGCATGTAAAACCACTGTAGATTYCACAAGAGACCTTCCATCCAACACAAAAGGATGCATTTCATTTGAGACTATCCATAAGCAAAGGAAAGGAAATGAAGAGCTCAGTTTCTCCTCTGCTTTAATGATGAACTTTTTTTCCACAGAGAACAGGATCAGCAGTGGATACTGGGGAGATTCACTCTGATATAAGAACATTCTTATCAAGTTGGATTTAAACATCCTGAGGCTGAGGTTTCCTAAATCCTGGGCAAATGCTCTAAGCTCTAAAGAATCAGATAGAAGAGAGGCACAACCATCAATGTTGCAACTCAGTCACCAAAAGTTTTACAGCCAAGCTTTCCCGTGTGCATTATACCATGTGCATTATATCATGAATAATTTCAGGACTGGGAGTATAATTTTCATTTGATTTATCAGTTTAAGAAATTTAGTTCAGATCTAGAAAACATTTTTTTCTGGCCTTATAGTAGCTCTGTCTAGCCTAATATTTATTCACAATTTAGTACTTTCTTGAAAGAAAGAGTGTTTTTAAGGCACTGAAAGAAACCATTGAAAATCATTCTTTGTTGGCACAGATGAGCACTGAAGTAATATTTCTTTGTTCTGCAAAGATTATGATGCTTTTTATAAATCTGTTTGCTTTCTGGAAGCTGAAAACATGAATCCAGCTGTCAGAAACTTAATACACATTCTCTTCTCACACTGATGTCTTAACAACATTTTATTGTTAAGCCTGACAAGCTAGCTGTTTATTATTTGTCAAGTTGGCTATTTTTTAAAACCATAAGTTTTACTTTATTCCAATCTTCATCAAATTAACTGAGTAGAATTTTAAGATGCTCTTGAACACAACAATAGGAAGCAGAACACAGCGCTTGAGGAGAGTTGTCAGCAATTGCAATATTAAATGAAATGATTAAAATTTCACCTACTTAAACATCACAGGCCAAGGACCTCATTAGCTAGTTGAGAGGGCTTCAGTGAATTAGTCCCTAATAACTGACCCTTGGTTTCTTCTCAGTTCTGTGCCTGTATTATCACACTGTTTTGCATTCTCTGCTTTAGGAGGCTCAGCCAGCTTCTGAAAAAGTGMCGTATTCCTAAGCAGCATGTTCAGCGTCCTGAAGAACTTCTCTTTGTTTTAATCTTCTCCATTCCTACTCATGCYTTAGGGTACAGGAAATACTCCAGTGTCTACAAATTAGAACTGTTGACCAGGGAGCAAGTAGTTCTGCTCTTGACTGGGAGCAGAGAGGGAGCCTGTGAAGAAATGGAGGGGCTGCTCAAAGTTCAGCTGATGCAAGAGTGCACACTAGGTGCCAAATACTTGGGTCTGCATGGGCAGATACGAATGAGTGAGAATGGGATAATATCCCTCTTCTGTCTTATTCTTCTCTTCCATGCCTATGGATAAGCAGACACGGGATAATGTTACACCTGCAAATGGCTTCAGACATGAAAAATTCTATTGCCTTTACTTTACTTGTTTACTTGGGGGAACTGGAAAGGGAGGTTGTTTGTTTGTTTCTTTCTTTCTTTCTTTTCTTTCCTTCTTTCAGAAGGAGGTATGTAGGTCGTGACAATAGATTTCTAATATTTTTCCTCCTAATTCACTAAATTACACTCACTAGCCACACACAGACTTCTTAATCCTTATCGAAAAGAACAGATCTATACTGTGAAAAAAAGTTGCTCTTGTATCCAGTCCATGCTTACTCTAACAGCACAATATCTAGATGGTCTGAGTCTATTAAAGACACAAAAATAAATGTATGCGGTAAGGTGAGGATCTGGGTCCCCACTGGTGGATGTCCTCCATCAACCCAAAGAGAGCATTTGGTCAAGGGTGGCACAGGATACCTGGTGGGGAACATATATGGAGCACCAGACTGAGGATCCACCGCCCCACACAGCCCTATTGCCTGTAAAACACTGGGGTATGTAAGAAGGACAGACGAAGCAACATTGAACTACTCAGATTTCCCTAACTAAAGTATATTCTTTCTTTTCCCTTCCTTTACTGCTATGAGAGGAAGGGGCTTGAGGGCAAGGTGGACCTGGAAATTTTATTTATAGAGAATCAGATTCATTTAATAATCACCTAAAGTGACACAAGCTAGCTGCTCTGGATACCAGGATGCACAACAAACAAAACAAAGGTTTTCATCCACATAGTCCATCCATCTAATACCATTCTCCTTTCCAGAACAACAACGAAAACATGAATACTCTATTTTTAATGCAATTCTCTTTCTAAACAGTGTTATAAACAAAGGTAAAACATGGCTTTTTTACTAGAGAATTTTGACCACAGYTGCCCAAGCAATCTGCCTACTGGCTTGCTAGTCTGACACTGACGGATTGGTGAAATACATGCCCCTCTCCAGATCCTTTCGATTCTTAGAGAGGGGATGGGACATGTTCTGGGGCCATCACGTCAGATTTCTGCTGACCTTTGCAGTAGAGGTGGGAGTGCTTTCTGGCCCATGGGAGTAGTTCCACATAAAAATTCAGTCCCACAAGGGCTGTATTTTCTCTCTCTATTTTCATCTGAAGGAAAAGCTGTCCCCAGGATGATGGGAACAGGACCTCTAAATGGGGATTGGTTGCATTCCTGGTCCTACCAGGTGAGGGAACACAAGAAGATCACCTACATTCGGCCACAGCCCTCAGGGTGTATTTGCTTCTCCTCAGATGGAGGATTTGGACATTGTGCTAGCGAGTCTCTGACAAGCTACTGTGCAGCACAGGCTGCGCTCTCCAAATCTCAAGAAAGCATCTCCAAGAGCTATTGCACTCTGCTCCTCTCCTTCATCGCAAGAGACATCAATGCTGCTCTTATCCCACCTGATCCACAGTAAGAATATCCTGAATCAGAAAAAAAGGACTTCATGAAGAATCTGATCACTGCAGTGAAGGGGAGGGTCAGATTCCCGTCTAAAGAAAGAATATGGGCACAAAGTCTGTCACAATCTCTCTTATTTTAACTATTTTTCAAAGTTTCCAGTTACAGAAAGCAGGAGAAGCAACAGAACTTTTACTTTTGGTGGTTTTCAAAGATAAAGAACCAATGGCTTTCATTGCACTGATCCAGGGAATACTCCTTCTTGGTCTCCCTTGCTCTGCAATGCTGCTAGGGAGGCCTATAGCATACCAGATTTTTCAGCAGTTCACCAACATTTCTGTCATTCTTCAGCCATGTGATTGCTGGCTGATCTCAGTAAATAATACAGGCTAAGCAACACACCCCTGGGAAAAAACCCTGCCAAGGCAAGCCTACCCTAGCAGTCGAACACCTCAAATACACCCTTTTCAGGCAGAAAGGTGTAATGGCTGGGTCTCATGGGGACAAACTCTGTTTTTCTCCTCCTGAACAGGGACTAGCACGGTGGTGATCCTGCACTATGACAGGACTGCTAGACATCACTGTTATTAACAACATGCGTGTTATGGCACACTAGCAGTAACACACACGTCAGCTAGGAGACACTCCTGACACATCAGCAACGAGTTGTCACCGTCTTGTGACACCTCGGGCAAATTCGCCTCTCGTGTCCCAAGAAAAAAATGAAAGACTTCCCTTTTCCCACTTTCTGTTTACCTAAATCCTCCATCACCTTCTTCATGTCAGCGAAGCTGTCATCTCGTTTCCTCAGCTCCTTCCCTGCCTTTGAGGTATCACTGCTGACACACTCATAACGAGCTGCCGTGTATCATCTATTGATCATCCTGGCCCACACACATTCCAGATCTCGAGCCTTTATACCTCCAACACCCTTTATTTCCCACAGCCTCACTTTTAAGGTTGAGCCAAGCTGCTTCCCATTAGAGAACTGGAAGCAGAGGCACTTTTAAACTCAGTTGTCAGGAAGAGTTAGGAGYGACACGATGTCCCGCTCGCTGGCGGGCATGGTGAGAGCACCCTGACGACTGCCGCGGCCTCCTTCGCCTCCAGTGCTCCAGGGAGGTTGGTGCTCATCTAAGAGGAGGCTTTAAGGGCTTAAATAATGGCTTTGGCAAGGCAACGAGACAAGGGAGCAGTGCCGGCCTCCCCCACGGCCTGCACACCTCGGCCCGGACCTGTTACACTCCGCGCTGTTTATTCCACTTGGGCACCGAGGCAGTCACGCTGGGCAGTCACTTTATGCTGTGAATAGGGATGGACGAGGGGAGGGAGGGAAGAAGCAGCAGCCAAATGTAATTCCCAAAGGAGACAGGTTGAAATGTCAGCCACGCTGATCATTCAAGCTACCTAAGACATCATCTAGTGAAAGCTAAGAACTCCCCAAGGGATGGAGATGGATTTAAATCCTATTAGGAGAAAGACAGCATGAGATTCTCAATGCTCAAATGCCTTCTCTACACCTACTCTGTTTTCATTTATGATCTAATTAGGGTTTGAATCCAGATCCTCTTAAGTGAGTAAAGCACCAAAGACCCATCTCATATAAAGACAGTGTATTTTTTTCCTAGAAATATATGAAAAAAAATCACACAGACTTTGAAGCTGACAAGTTCTTGCAGTCGAATCCCTCCTTGAAGGGACAGCACAACAAGAAAGGCAAAGCACCATCAGGAATTCATCTAGGAAGGAGTAGCACTGGGAACCATCTGTCTTGTTCAGCTTTTCTACCAGCTATCTGCACGAAATATGAATCCTGCATTGCATACCTGCAAAACTTTAAAGCGAAATTACATCCTCCCCATCACCTGTTTTTAGGACAGGGAGGAAAAAGAGAGATGGCTATCAGTACTGCCCTAAAAATTTACATGTGTATAAGCTTGGGAAGAACATCAGTGTGTGAAAGGGACTGCAGGAGTGACTGTCCCTTTGTTCAGTGTAAATGTCCCTTTGTTTGGTGAGAGGGAAGGCAGCAGAATCAATTGTCCCAGGACAGAAACCTGGCTAAGTAGAAGACACCCCTTGTCAGCCAGGAGTTTCCCTTGGGGTTGATAAAACAGAAGCAGAGAGTAGGGCATTGTCTGGTAGAGCTGAGGATGAGGAGAWGAAAACACCAGAGGAAATTCAGGAGAGGGAGRGAAAAAAAAGAAAAAAAAGCAACCCTACAAGTGCCAGAAAGGAAGCTTGAAGGCTTCTCAGCTTCTGCAGTTTCTGAGACGGGAGAGGCTGCCTGGAGCAGTAAACAAGGAACCCACCTCTTGCAAAGCAAAGAGGAATGGGATTTTGCATGCACTCTCCAAATGATTCCCCATTCTTCCACATATATATTTTTTCCCCATATTTTTTCTCTCTGACGAAGAACCCACAGTGCACCAAATTTGGTCAAAAGCTCATTGGGGAAAGAGGTAATATCATCTTTATGTTTGACTTCCACTAACTGCTTTGCAAAAATGTATCTTAAAAACGAACTAGGCTTTTCCTTTCCTCCAGAGACAGATGCAAAAAACTAAAAATAAAGCAAAACAAAACACACAATTCAAGCATCAAAATTTTGCTGTGGTAGAAATCTTTGAGAGGAAAGGTCTCTTCCTCTTCTCTTGTAACCRGACAGACTTGCAGCAGATCAGCCCAAGGATTTAGAAAGCCTTGATAACCCATGGGTTGATAACCCTTGAGAACCCAACTAGGAAAAGAACTACCAGGACACAACTGCACCCTCCCAGCCAAGAGAAAAAGCCCTGCTGAGACATTTGCTTATGAGCTAGCATTTAATTCTAAAGACATTACGGTTTGCCCAGAGCCACAGGATATAAATAGGGACTGAAACTTGCTCATGTCTTTTTTCCCATCAGTTGGGCCATAAACTGTTGGACAAAAAGGTCTCTTTGTGATCCAGAGACCTCCGATCAATCCCAGCCTATGGGCACTGACTCGCCAGCTGTCGAGGGAGCCTAAACACCAAGGAGAGCAGGTCTTTTGTGATCTGGCTGCTCTTCATCACTGCTTTATGCTCTTCCCCCTGCCCCCCCCCTCCCCAAATGGAGATTCTGATGAGGAATAAAAAATATTAAAGAAAATAAAAGATGTCAGTTGATGCCAGCACGAGGCCCTCCCCTGGTGTTTAATTATGTGGGAACTGTGATATTCAGTCTGTCAGCTAGGTGACAGATCCCTGTTGGCACTGTGTGAAATAACTGCTGGTTTACAACCMCACATACCATAGGGCAGATATAGATACACCCAGTGCAGATATAGATATGCCCAGCACAAACCATYGCAAAGATCCCCATGGCTGCCCGTGGGTCTCTCACATTTCTTACCTGCGGCGTCCGTGGCCATGAACACCATCAAAAAGGTCTTTCTCCTATTGATGACTAATGGTTATAACAGAAAATTTCCTGTCCATGTTTTTGTTTTGTTCCTTTCTCTACTCGCAAACATGTGCTCCATTCTGAGAATCAGTAAGGAATAGTTTCTGGTCTTCCTAAATACAGGAGGTGCCATTATAAACTTGTCACATCCTGATGTTAGTAGCATATGGTATTGAAAATATTCCCTCTGCTTAGATGAGGGAGCTGTTACAAATATCTCAAGCAACAGTTTGTTAATTTTGGATCTGATTCTATGGTGCATCAATATTTTTCTCATGTTTTTACACCTAACCACACAGTGAAGATGCCTATAGTATTTCTTATAGCATAGGTTAGGCTAGACCACACATGCTGGGAGATGCCACAGGTAGTTTAGCTACCCGCTTTGTGCTAGTTTTTCAAAGAGATGAGGGACAAAAGGACAGAACCAGCTCTTCTGCAGCCTCTGCGCCAGTTCTGAGGTGACAGGTGGAGCGTTTCTCCTCATTCTTTTCCCACAGATCTTTTGCTTACCCTTCCTAGCCCTCACCTAGCCACAGCTTCTTACTGTCACAGCTGACCATTACCTCCTTCCTGCCTGCCTACTTTGCAGTGTATCTGGGAAGGATAATCATCCACGCTCAACAGGAGAGGAGCAAAAGTGCAGAAGACTCYTCCCAATTGTACCAACATGTTTTGTGCCAAAGGAAGGAAGTGAAGGATTTGCAAGACTAAGGTGACATCCTAACATTCTGCTGTCACTTTCGCAGCATACTTTTTTAGCACTGAAAGCTTCAGGGATTTCAAACTGAAGCTTATGCAATGATTTTTCCACAGTATGTGAATTCGCAACAGCCTGCCTTCCTCTCCTTCCCAATATAACCTTAAGATCCTTCTTGTTGGGACCAAGGCTATGGACACGTACCTAATACAAACTGACTGCTAAAGCCTCGGGCCAAACAATGCAGGTAGAAAGACAAACAAGGGATGCTCAGCTTGTTCCGAACCCCGTCTACAAGAGGGCAGCAGCAAAAGGATACAATTATGGCATGCATGAAAAGCAACTCGGGATGCTCTCCTTTAGAACGCCTCAGGGTGGARAGTAAGGGCAGGTGAATTGAGGGCTGCATATGTTTAGCACATCTCCTGTCTTGACACAGTAATACTGCACTAGGAATGCAGAGGCACACTCTGCTTCCAAGTCTCTAACCATCCAGTCAAATCAGATCATTAAATATATTCAAGGGGAAATGCAAACGTGAGAAATATACCRTGACATCCCGTAAAAGAGACGCATGGGAAAAAGAAAGGGCAAACCCAAGGACAAGCAAACAAGAAATATGCTGCAKAGAAAACAGTTGATATAACACAGGATTCAGAGAGAGAGGTGAGAGAACTGCTCTAAGCAAAAAGTAAAAGAAAAACCCAACCTCCTTCCCCTACACGTTGCCAAATTTATGGTTTCTGTTCTTGAAATCTAGAGCAGTTTGAATAACCACAGTTTGCTATTTCCTTAGGTCTAGCTAGACCAGACGCAATCTAGTTCTCAGATGAAAGATCTGCCAGGAAACAACAAATACACAAACATGATTATTAACAAAGTTATTTTGAGGGCAACTTGACCTAACATGTTACAGTGAAAAGAAACAAAGCAATGTAAACACCAAAATGATCTGTATTCAAAGAAAACAGTATACACAGGGATACCGCAGGAGCTTGGGATGAGAGTCCTATCACAMTTTCTGTCTCTGCTTTTGTTCCTAAAGCATTCTGTTTGTCTCTGCTTTTGCCACAAATGGCCTTAGCCTTCTTCTACCAATTATTCTTAAGAAGAATCATGTATTGTAGGTTTTACTTAGATTTACCTTTGACTGGAAAAGTACCCTATTACAGTCCTGCCAGCTGCCCACAGCTTTCAGTTGCATGACATTATCTTAAGAGTTGTGGTGTTTTGGAAACATGATATTGCCACTGTAAAAACTGATATAGCAGTGAAAATAGAAACATGAAATTCAGTTAAAATCACCTAAACAAATAGGAAAGCAATATGCAAACTAATATTTTACATTCAGATACACCTAAAGTAATTTCCTAAATAATTTCTATTAATCCAATTATAACCTTTATCTTTAGAGCATCTTTGGCCAATGTTGCCATGAGCGGTGCGTAGTCTCACAGAGGTTACTCTTTCTGGGCTACAAAGTAAAAAAAGCTGCAGAGAGGTAGAATTGAAACCTGGAGATTTGCCTTCTCTTTTCTCAGCTTCTCTTACTCTTACTAATCCTTACTAATCACAGCAGTCAGGAAAAAATTCTTATTTCCTTTATATCAAACATAGTGATTTACYTGAAGACACTGTAGAGAAGTCAATAAAGCCACATTGATGTGGGTATTCAAGATAAAATAATGTTCTTCCGTAGAAACAATATTTTGGAAAATTAGCATAACCCATGCCAAAAATAAAAAGGGGAAATATCAAACACAGATTACCTGGGTACCCACTCTAAAAGCAGCTTCTACTTGAGCTTTAAGGATGTTACATTTCATATGATCAGGTACAGAGGAAGGTGACACGGGGGCATGAAGAGTCTTTTCAGACACTTTCTTCTCTTCACCCTATATTTAAAGAGAAGCACAGAGACACATATTAGAAAAATAAGTTAAAATGTTTAGGTCCAATTTTTACTAGTAGCAACCCAGATCAACAACACTGGGTACAGCTTCAATGTTCGTTGCCTGACAGATATATCAACAAGTTTTTTTTTTAAAGATTTAATGAATTGACACGATGATCAAGAAAAAAAATATACAGTGCTTTGAAACACACACACCCCCCCCAAAAAAAAAAAAAAAAGACGAAAAAAAGAAAACGAAAAAGAGCCAGGCCCTGAAATGGTTGCTCAAGCCTAAGATTACACCAAGGAAGTAAAACATTCCTCAAAATATGATATGGCAGATAGCAGGCAAAGGCAGGAAAGGTTTGCAAGGCTCAACTACAGTAGATGATGCTTTTTTATGCGACCCTAGGAACGTTAAGGGGCCTTACAAATTTAGCCACTGACAGAGAGATTTGAAGGCATTCTCACACAATTACAAGCCAAGCTGACATCTCCATCACAAAGAAAAAAAAAATCAGGGAGTTTAAATGCATCTGTTGCTGCTGCTTCCGCCTGATACAACCCCCTTAACTATTCAGTGTTCTGGATCACAAATSTGAACGCTCAGGACAGCTAGTTTAGTGATCTGTTCAAACACGACCTAAAGATTTTTGTGTTTTGAACAAACAAGAACCAGCAGAAATGCCAGAAGGAATAAACTTCCAAGACAGACAGAAACAAAGGAGAAAAGAGAAGATCAATGTAATATTAATGTATAAAGAAAGAGGGTATGCAGGTTTGTAAAGGAAGATTCTTAAGCAATCAGGCTGCGATATATTTTTCAAGAGGAACTGGCCAATGGCATAGTAGTCATTGCAAGCTTTTCCATTCTCAAAATTAGACCCAAATTACATCTGAATCTATCCTGCACAGCACCAACATACAATATCATCACCCAGATTTCACCGTGCTTYGCACTGATCTTCATACAGCTACAGCACCAGCAGCCCAGGCCTGGCATCCCCCTGGGGCTCACCTCTGCCAAATCATCTCAAGACAGGATTGGCCCATTTATAGTCCCCAAATTACCATCTGATTAGCCCTTAATTGAAAATTTGTCCTCTTTATCCTTCCTTCTGCCCTCCCCTATGGCATTTCATTGGCTGACAGTAACTAAAATCTTACTGACTCTTCTCTCAGATCCAAGAATAATCGCAGACTAAAGGGAAGGTCACCTCTTCTGGGGACACTTCCTGCGAGTGGGGAAAACCACGACTGTAGTTATGTTGCCTGAGGACCCCATTTTGTGGACACTGGGGTAGAACAGCTCGACCTCTGCAGAACTCTGTGGAGATGGCAAGGTATTTTTCATGTGTAAGCAAAGTTGGTCTAGCAGACTTCTGCATCCAAAATGCAATAGCTTCCAGGTATGATTGTGAACAACTGTCTGCTACAGGAATACCCATCTTGAGGTTTTTTCTTCCTCTGTGAAATCTCCAATAATTCTTACATGCCTATTTACTAAGCTGTATTTACGTTTTTAATGGAAGATATTTCTAGACATTTCATTCTCTTTACTTTCCTCCTAAGGGAGAAAAGGAAAAAACATAAAATGAGAAGTGACAGCTTGTGGCTGCAGCAACTTATGGAACTGTAGCCATCTATTCAGTCTTGGATATAACCGCAATCCTGGCAAGCATCTGAAAAAGAAATTGAAATATTCATTTGCTGTAGGTGGCTCTTCCGGGGTAGTCATGAAGCTAAGAAGTAGAAATAATCAAAAGGACAAAATTAAGTCTAAAGAAAGCATATTTTTTCCTTGACCAACAGTCATATTAGCTACTACATACTTCAAAGGACTGCTCTTCTTGGCAACTTTTGATTGTATTGATTTCTAACAGCAGAATAACCAATGCACTAAACATTGACATTTTAAAGGCCATGTAAAATCCTAACTTCATTTTATCACTGCATACTAATTAAATATCATTTCAGTCAAGCCAGTTTAAGTCACTGCATTTTATCAGCTAAATGACGACCACTAMTTCTTGTTTATGACAATAAACATGTTTCATAACTTCAAAACCTCCCCCCAAAAAGTCCCATCCACTTGGTATCAAGTATTTGCATGGATATTTTTCACTTTTTGTGTTCTTCCTCCCCTGCCCAGTTTCTCTGCATTGATCAAGGGCATTCTCAAAACAGTCTTCAGGGCTGCCCTGTATTTGGGAGACCCCAAAAGGCCTAAACCTCCTAGCAGATTTTATAGGATTATAACAGATGGCACTGCCTAACTGCAATTGCACAGCCCGAGGTCTCACAAGCTGAGACTCTCATAACTTGAGGGATCCTAACACCAACACTCACCCAACCTGCCCAAAAAGGGAAAAATGCTGCTGCTCTGGAGGTTACGGCCTCTTGGAAACCACTCCTTGGGGCTTCACTTCTCCTTCAGCCCTTGTTTGGGCCACACCAYAAGGATTTCTACCTCCAAGCAAGTGGCATTTGCTTGTCTTGCACCCCTCCAGGAGCAGCAGCAGCTCTGCGGGGTGACCACGCATGAACAGCACAGAAAGCTGTGGTCGGATGACCAGCCCCATCCTGAGTTCTCATCTCAAAGAGCTAATTAGCTCCAACTATTACACATGTGCTTGCGGTGGCACCGAAGATTCAGACTGCAAATGAACCTCCACGATGCAACTTAATACAGAAAACAAAGCAGCCTCTCCTTATTTCAGACTATTAGCATTTCTGAGCATCTGTAGAAGTTCCTCTTGCTCTTTAATGCCACTAGCCTTCACATATAACCCCGATCAGCCCTCGGTTTCACTTATGTAGTCATCAACAAGAAGGCAAAGGGAAAAATAGCATTTCAGAAAAAAAAAAAACCACACAGTGTATATTCTATGGCTCATTTCTCTAGATTACAWGAAAATCAAAAATCCTAAAATTGTCTGCATTATGGAGTCTGTGTATACTACAGCTGCAAAAAAGAAAGCCGAACTCTACTTTATTTTGCCTTATAACAAATGTATCTGCAGCTTACGTTTCCAGAATCGCCACTGCTTGCAATGACAAATGAAGCACAAAGATAGCAGGTTGGTATTCACATATTGTATCAGGTTGGCAGTAATCAAAACTTTATTTTCACTTATAAACTAAGAATATTCAGTGTGGAAGTCATTAGAAGACTATATATGACCGTGCTGATATAACTTCTGATTTTATCATGGCTTGTTACATAATTCTGAGAAAAGAAAAAAAAATGAGACAATGGATTTAAATGAATGTGTGGGAATCAAACTTGCTTCTGAAAGAAAAACTTCTTGCTTACAGTTGCAATCTGAACTCAACCTAAAAGGTTTAAAAATGAGGAAAAAAAAAGTCAGTATTGATTGAAGATACCTGATAACACTCACATCTTCTATCTCCAGTTCTGTTGGTGTAACTTAATGGKAATGTGTTTGCATTGCTTTCATCATTGACAAAGAGTATATTTTTCTGAAGGGAGAAAGCACTGGGGAATTGCTGGAAGCATTTAAAGGGTTTGATAGAAATGTGTTGAACAAGCTTATATATAAATATATGTATACATGTGTATGTATACGTATAGATGTAACTACATGCTTTTTTTCTTTTATAATGGAGGTCTTATGTTTGCTTATCCCTTCCCAAACATTTCTTTTAATTTTAATTACATTTACTGAAACAAGAATCACTGACAGGTATGTACAGTATTAAATAATCACAGAATCCCAGAATGGCTGAGGTTGGAAGGGACCTCTAGAGCTCATCCAGTCCAACCCCCCTGCTCCAGCAGGGACACCCAGAGCACAGGGCACAGGGCGGCATCCAGGCAGGTTTGGAAGATCTCCAGAGAAGGAGACTCCACAACCTCTCTGGGCAGCCTGTGCCAGGGCTCTGGCACCCTCACAGGAAAGAAGTTCTTCCTCACATGCAGATGGAACTGCCTGGGTTTCAACTTGTGTCCGTTGCCCCTTGTCCTGTCAGCGGCCACCACTGAGGAGAGCTAGGCCCCTTCCTCCCTACATTCACCCTTCATACTGAGCTTGCAAGGCCACAGGACTGAGGCTTGGCTGGCTTGCTCTGTCTGAACTCTTCCTGACCTGCTGGTAGCTCTRTTCTACTTGGTTTAGCTGTAACAGCAATTTTCCTAATTGACCAGATGTCTATAGCTAATTTGTTTTATCTTTGTACGATACAACCATAGTTTTATATAGACAGCAGGAACAAGCAGTTATTCTATGCAGAAAGGGATATTTATGAGTGGAGCATGATGACGCGACGTAGAGCAAGAGCAGCCGAAGGGAAGACCTTGGACACAAGGTGGAAAAGTGTGGGCAGCGTGTGATGGGTGAAGGAGCTGCCACTGGAGACCCCTGCCTGCAAAGCTCACCTGTAGTCAGCTGAGGAAATGCAAACCTGGAGCTGGACAAAAGCAGGCTTAGTGGTACAAACTCAGTGCTATAGCAACAAAGATAGGGTACCCAACATACGTTAAAAGCCACTGTACACAGTAGATTGGGATGCAAGATGAAGCCAATGGTCAGTGAAGACAAAGCAAGGTGTTACAGCATGTTAGCCAACTTATGGTCTCCAAATGGCTCCTAAAATGAGAAAGAAGAAACCACCAACACTGTATGTCCCCTGGCACAGGACCCCAGGGGCAGACCCCGCAGTGCAGCACCCCTGCAGCCCCTCACCAGAGTGAAACTATCAAGCTCAGGGCCCAGGGAAAGGGGAGGCACAATGCCAGGAGAAGAGGTAGACACTGCATGTGGGTATAACAACTTCAACTGCACTACTGGCCTTTCTTTTGCTGTAATAATTAGGGCTGGACTAACAACAATTAGACTCYGAAGATTTCAGTTACACTAAGAATACATTCTTTGCATTAGATATTTTTATCATATGTATATATATGTATCCACATACATACATACATAAACATACATACTTACGGCAGGCTTCCCCTTTGTCCATAAAAAATGACTTTGAGCATGACAGAAAAAGGCTGTAGGAACGGTGGGGGGGAGGGATAGGAGAACATTTTTCTGAGGAAAGGCTTTTGCAAGAAAGAAAATTGAAAACATTCACAGTTACAACACCTCAGCTTCTCTCTCCTGGAGGGTAAAAAGTCTGCTGGCACCAAAGGGAATGACACACACATTGAAATTTACTTTTATCACTCCCTAGGTGGACAGACATGTCCACTGTACCAAACAGTTCTGCAAAAGAGACTGGACACATCCATTCATCATCCCCATGAGATGGAGTTAGCTGTAGCAGACAATCAAATTAATTAACTGCTGAATCTAATATGCTCAATTTCTTGTTAATTCTGCTATGGGCTGATTATTAAGTCTGACAAATTCCATCCCCAAAGCACACTGCTTGGAAAAAAAAATAATTAGCAGCAGAAAGAGAGCAAATGAAAGTCAAGACTCCACAATAGATGTGGAAACGATTTCTATGTTCTCAGAAATAAAGGAACAGAGGCAGCTTCACAACTGTTTCTCCGGTTTTGTTTAAGCAAATATTTTGGAGGAAAGCAAAGAGAATTAACAGCATTTAGTGGAAAAAAAAATCAAGGACAGTGTTTTCTGTCGCTGCATTCGGTTTCATTTCTCGCCAGAAGCTGAGCACACCGACTGCTCCTTAACCCCCCTTGCCGTTAGGTAGGAGCAGTGACAGCTACCGGCACCTGGCTAAGTACCAAGACCAAAGCAGCTCTAAGGCTGCGCTTGTAGCGCAAGGCGCTGTTCAGAGTTCAAGGCTCTACGGTCCTGCCTAGCCTGGCAACGCTCAGCGGTGTTCCAGCCCAGATTTAGGACGTTCCTCTCATTGCAGGAACCATCTGCCCAAGCAACTGCGGGGGCAGCTCAAAGTTCAATGACTTGAGGTTTGTTTGCCTTCATTTTACAAGCTCTGTGTACGTACTTCACTAGGCCCTAGGGAGCAAACCATGAGCATGGGGCTGGAAGAACCTCCAAATGACTTGCTGGTCCCCACAAAACACAGGTTGTACCTGAGGGCTTGATTGTCCATGCAATTTCTGCTGGTGACACCTGGCGTCTTCCCGAAGTGCATATAATTTTTAAGTGGCTCAGCATGACAACCTTAAACTCTGAGGGACTGCCCTCCTCTCCGTTCCCCTACATGGCAACTGYTCTTCGTGGGATTGCTGCCTATCGGCTAAAGCCAAACCTTCCCAGGCTGCCAGGAAAAGGGTTTCWTAAGACACTCAGTGCCCCTAGCTTTGCCTTTTGCTGATGCCAGAAGCAGAAGCTTAGCAGCTCCTGGTGCTCTGTGTAAAACTTCTCCAGCAGCAAAACTTTTGACTTGTTAGAAATCTCGGCACAGCAGACACAGGCTGTATTAGACAGGCCAGCATCCCCTTTCCACCCTCTCCCCCACCMCACACACACAAAAGGAACCCCAAAAAAACTCCTTCTGTCACTGGAAGACACTGACTTGCTGGGGTACYGGGTTCTGCTACTTAGTTCTTACATAACACTCCATCTGACTGTGAATAAAATCGTAGAGTTGTTAGGAAAAGCCAAAGTAAATCATTAGGTATAGAAGAGCTGAGTTTTCTCTTCATAGATTTTCAGAAAAGAAAAAAAAAAAGTAGAAAAGATCAGAAGTCAGACTTAACCAAGCAGAAGTCACAGCGATTCTACTACGACCACATGGGCAGTACAGTGGAATATACAGCCAAAATATTTCAAGCTTTCATTAAAGCAAATAAACATATAAATGCATTCATTTTGAGATTACAAGGGCACCATTCAGCTCACCTGCTTGGATCTYTCACACAGCACAGCCCAGATTACCTTATCCACTTACCCTTGTACTGTGGTCAGCAGAGGTCATCTAGAGTCCATATCTGAGTCCATATTTTAAYCCTTTATCTATATTAAACTGAGCTGCCAATAACCTGTGTAGAAATGTCCTTCAAAGTACGTTTTGGATTTTGCACCTAATGAATGCTTGCAGTTGATGTTAAGACACAGGGYATCCATATTCCTCTCATAAGGCATAAATATCCATTGGATGAATCCAAGTGATAGAGATTTTTCCTTTGGCAAACTGTATCAATGCTAAACTAATTTTCCCTATTAAAAATGCACTTACTTCCTGACAGAGTATTTCTAACAAAGGAGCTGGACAAGTGCCCATGGATATGTTTATTTTTATCTCATCCTTATTTGTCTGTTTTTTAGTTTTTTTAGCCACTTAGATCAACTGATCAGAGAAAACGTCAGCTCCTTACAACTGATAACCAAATAGATTTAGGTAAAAAAGCTAAAATATTTCACCTTGATGTGTTGATTCAGAAGTCTCAAAACATTGCCTCATGGGCATGCATGTCATCCCCTCATAGCTGCATTCGCCAGGATGGACTCTTGTCCGTAGCTGCTCTCCACCAACACCCCGTGGCACACCATAAATGCTATTCTTTCAACAACTTCTCTTTATGAGGGAAAAAWTCCAGTGCATTATGGAAAATATAGCTTGATAAGGGTCCTAGGCTTATTGAGCAATATGGGAACATTATAGCTTCCACATGACACTGACTTCAGTTATCTAGAATTCTGAACAAAACCTATCAAGATTTCATTGCTTGTTGGAAGCACCTGGCAATCTTTAGCTTCTCCTGGATACTCCTGCCTAGAAAAAAAAAGAGATTATGCTATATAGATATGTTGTCCCTTGTTCCAGATATGAGTCCCTCCTTGTTTCCACAGCCCTCTTGTGGCTGTACTTTCCACGCCTTTTGCACCCTCAATTTTCCCAATGCTGTGTTGAAATAACATCAACAATAAAACCCAGTCTGTGAAACCAAGGCTAAGCAATATAACTGGTTCAGGTTCTCCCGTGAATTGACAAAAATCTCTCCAAACACCTTCTTTTTAACAGGTATRCACGTTCCGTGGGGGCCCAGACCCCTCACCTGAAGCTACCTGAAAAGCTCTCACCAATTTCACTGTCTTCAACTCAGGACTGATCACAGAGGGCTTGCTGTGAATCAGAGGTCCAAGCTTCCACCCAAAGCCAGCTCAAAGCACCCCCATATCACAGACACACAGAGTTTGGGCTCTCATGSACAAAAGGAGCCAACAAACCCCTGTCTATCACGCTGCTGGCATAGGCAGTGGTGCAGGGCTCTTTTGCAGCCTCCCAGAAAGCCCACTTGTCTAACACCAGCCAGATACTGGGGGTGGCGGGAGTCTATGGATTAACACACACTCCTCATAYGGAAAAACAAAGTGACTTATTTCTTAATCATTTATTATGCTGTTATTTTTCTTGCAGTTCTAGGCTGCCTACATGACTAACTCTTCACAGCTAAATCAAAACTACATCATAACATTGTTGCAGCAGCTGTGAAATTTTAAAAGGCAAAGTTGAAGGAAATACTAAATCTAAAAATGAAACCCGAGTCCCATGAGGAGATGGCATGAGCTGACTAACAAGCAAGACGGTTGCAGATGCATGTTGATTTGAATTGGAAGTGAAAAAGCAGTAGCTTCTGCATATCAAGTGACAAAGGCGCTCTCTGGCATATATACATATATATATATATAAAGACGTGCATATGCTATACCTTGTTCATGCTGATGTGCAGGGCTGGCCATGGTCCAACTACCTTCACACTCTCCGTTTCTATTTTCTTCAGATGAGAAGTTTCATCATATAGAAGGGGAAGTCCTGAGCTCAGTTCTACAAAGATGCCCAAAAGAAAGAAAAAACACAGTCTGAAGGGAGGCTACAGAAGAACTGCACAGCAAGACACTCAACTGCATTTGAAGAGAAAGGGAYCTCTTTTTTGGAAGAGAAAGTGACTGTCTTGGCTGTAAGAATGCCTAAAATATTTCATACTTATGCCTGTTGGGTCATTTTCCTTCTTCTATTTAGCAAAATTCCTCCCCTTCTTCCTCTTCCCCTCCCATTTCTCCATTTCAGCAGGGCTTTGGCTTTCTGTTGGCTACATACTTCTCTCCTTTCACACACACTAAATAGTCAGGTATTCTACAACTCAGTTGACACCAGAGGGATTATGGATGCAGACACGGTGCCACTTGCAGCATATGTGATGTGCAATGAGATCAGAGCAGAGCTTTTGGCTTCTTGGGGACATCTCTATTTGTATGTCASCCTCTTCAAGACTGTTATCAGGACTTGGATGTGCTTTGTCAACAGAGGTCTTGGGTGAACCGCTGGAACAGAAAGACAAGGAAAATGTTTTTTGACAGAAAATCTTGAAAGGTATTGGCCAACATCTTGGGGATGGTGCTGCATGTGTATTTTTAAATATTCTTAGAAAAGTGAGACTCATTACATGATAATTTAATGAATCCCTGCCTACTGTACTTTTTCTGCCATAGGTTCTAGATAATAATTTTGGGCTGTATCTCCAGGGTCTTATTCAAAGCTCATTGAAATCAATAAAAAGCTCTCACAAATTGCACTTTTGTTGGATCAGCTTCCTAAGCTGTCCTAAGAATATTAAATATTATTCACTCAAAACACAATTTTACAGCTCTTTAAATATACATTAAGGGCTCTGCTGACTAGAGACAAACCAGCTGCCAGGGACATTAGCAAGAGGCTGTTTTGGRCAGCAGTGAAGCTTAATGGGATCCTGAGGTAAGTGTCCCAGCAGGGGGATGATATCCCCTATCAGCAGCGCTCTTCCATCGCTCCGCRCACGTCCGTGTCGGCACCGCGTGGCAGCTCTGCCGTCCCAGYTGGACGTGAACTGTGAAACTGCCCYGTCACATCAGTGGATACATCACCACAGCCACCAGATGAGATGGTACATTTTGGAAACCCAGTAATTTTTACTKTTTGGTTGAGAAAGAACATAAAGGGGGAAAAAAAAAAAGAACATTATTTAATTGGTTCAAGTTTGCTGTGTTGCAAAACAGACACAGGGCTGGCTGCTGCTTTGCTTACAGTCTGGAGAGCACCAGAAACGAAACCAGCTGGTTTAGCCTTTTTGCTCAATCCTGCTTAAATAAAGGCATATCTTGCCTGAGACAGCATTAAGTTTTGCCAAAACCATGCTTCCATTTCTGAAAAGGGACTGGCAACACTGTGGCTTCTCAAAGGATCATTCCAGCCCACAGTTCAGTCTGTGTAACACTGTTCCCTGCCCAGGGTTGTGCAAGGAATGCAAAAGGAGAAGACCTGCTGCATAGGAAAGTATGGTCTGTGCACACGAGCCTTCAGGTAAAGGGCAGCATTACAAATACTGTARTTAGGCTGAATGCAGGAAAACAACATCTTCTGTTGAACTATCTTCATAAACACGTCACATTTGATTCATGGGGTGATAACTCTTCCAGTAATTACACTGGACAAATTACTTTGAATACAAAAATCAGGCAAATTGTTTTCTGTAACAAACTCCCAGTCTCTCTGTGTTCACTGTGGAAAATTGCAAATATTTGAAGAGTAACTCAGCTGCACACACTGCCATTTCCATTTCTCTGTTCCACATACTCCAAATAGGGGCTGAAATTTTGGACCCTCTCAGAGTCCACATGAGTAGAAGAAACACGGACCTTCCTTCCCTTCCAACAGTAAGCAAGGTGTACATGGGAACTCTAAGTTCCACTTCACCTGGATTCATAACCTCAGAGATGAATCCATAGAAAATGGAATACGCACCAAAATGGCAACAATCTCTGGAAAATCCAAAGGCAGCCAGACTGCAGAGGCGAGGTGCAGTCCCACCTCTGCCAGCCTCATTGGGAAGTCTCTCCTAGGGTGGCGTATTCCCCTTACGAGACCTTTCGACTCTCCAGGCATTTCCACTTGAGATGCTTTTGGTCACACGCACACTCTTCCTGGAGAGCGTTCTCAGCTTGGTGRCCACTTTATTTCCTAGAACCGCTTTCCCAGCAGTGCCCTAATGCTCATGCAGCCCCATTCCTGGCATCAGCCCCTCCATGTCTCCATGTTCCTTATTCACACTGCTGATAAGAGGCACCCTGTGACATGTGTTTTTCTTGTCCCACACACTGACATACATGCAGCCCTACATAYCTGACTGTCAACTGGGATGCTCCTAATAGTTCCCACACATGCACTAGAAGCCTTTTCCATGTGCTGCCTGCAAGATGGCTTTCTCAGCCCAAACAACCCCAGCAGCATTTTAGGAGAAAGAGCAGTGCTTGAAAACAAAGCACCAATCCTGAAACACCAAAACCAAGATTGGTTGGTGTTTCCAACCACACACGACCAAGACTGATCAGAATGCTGAGGAAGAGGGTCCCATTTATTCCATGGCTGTTCTAACAGCACATAAAACAGTGTAAAAATCCTACCTAACTACCACGTCTAACTGAGGAACACCTTTTGAAGGAAAATTATGATTATTATTTTTTTTAATCTGACCAAACACTTTGAGACAGGAAATCAGTGGATCAGGTGATGTCTGGCCACAGGACAGAAGTTTATTAGGAAGAGCCAGCCAGCAGAGAAGTGCAAGGGATTCTCAGTAATCAGAACAGACCAGTTGGATGCAGTAGGTGTCGATACCACAACCTCTGCTCAGGAGATAACAGTGTCCTTTTGGGTTTCCTTAGAGAGGCTGGAATTGGCACTCTGCTACTGGCATTAGGCCACGTCTGGAACCACTGCCCATTCCCTTTTCTCTAATCAAGTAGGGACATAAATAAAAAGTTAGAGCATGAACCAGTCTCAAGCAGACAAAGTAGAAAAAAGGTAAATATGTCTACAGTAATATGCGCTGCATGAACCACACAAAAGAGCTCATCTCCATTGGCAAAGTTACTTTCAAAATAAAGCAACAGCTCAACAGACTGGGAAGGCTGTGGCAAGTTGTGTGGGAGGAATACTGGGCTTTAGATGGAAAAGAACTTGCATCCACAACCAAGTCTCACCATCCCCATGCATAACGGGCACAACGCATCCTGAGACCAAGAACAGGAGACACTGCAAAGCATTCCTCTCATGGATCAAGGCAATTATTTTTTTCCAACTCCTCACCCAACCTGGCTAAACTTTGACAGACTGAAGCTTGACAGGCTTCCACATAACAAACATTGGATACAAACAGAACTATGCCTCGGTTTTGTCCTTATGCTCTTCTAACCTGATGAGTCACCAATAATACAGCGTAGCACAGTAGTCCAAGAGGAACTACAGAGCTAGAATAAACACACAATATTAGATTTTTTACTGTCGTTTCTTTAATAATATTCCGATCCCTGGAGAGTTCATCTACAGGCACACTGTATTTCAGAGCTACAAATATTTTTCTTTTTACACTTCTGCCTATGGGCAGTGTTGTCCCAAAGTGACCAGAGGAACCTCTCCTGGCAGCCTTGTGGTTCTTGCTTCCAGCTTTACAGAATGCTAACTAAGGCTGTTCATTCACCCCAAGACCCCTGTTTCGGCTGCCCCATCTGTAGCCTGGCCTGTCCATCAGTCTCTCGYGATAGCAGCTCTTGTTGCAGGCTGGTGCCAACAGCCAGGTCTCCTGGCACAGCCATTCCTGCAGGAAAGGGCTCCCCCAGCGCATGGCTCTGCCCACGGCTCAGAGCTGCCAAGCAGAGCCAGGCCTGCTCCAGTTGCTGCTGGGAGCAGCAACTTCTCCTCTTTGCAGTTATCTGCTGTCTGGTGCAGGCTGGGGGATGGACACACTTTTTTGTTTGTTTGTTTTCAGTTTAAACAGACTTTCTTTTCAAACACGGGTCTAGTCTTTGATTTTGCACGTCAACAGGCCGAGCAGGTCTGCCAGCAGCTACCGAACAGGGAATCCYGTGGCCCGTCCCCATCCAGCGCTGGTGTTCACGGCTGGGGCTAGTGTGTGAACACTCATGAGTGGTCCAAGAGGCCACCACGGGCCTCCTCCGGCAGCACCAGGGGCTCTGTGCTGGTGGTGTCCCTCCTGCATCACTCCAGGCTTCAGAGCATACTGGTGCTGCACGTGAGATAGGCTGACGTAGAGTGTACACTAAATTAAACACAGGGGAGAGCATCAGATTGACTGGAGGTTGCTCCTAAGGGAATAACTTCATTTAATGCCTCAGGAAACAATTTATTTTGTTTCTTAGGAGTCCTTACTTAAAAATTTATGATGCCTCACAATTTGTTTCTTGAACTTCCTTTCTTAAAACTGCTACCTGCTTCTCTTTGGGAAGGAAAATTTGTAATAAGGCTTCTGGGTTACTGAGGYAGGACAGCCTGCAGTCAAGATTGCACAGTATTTTCCATTACAAAATCCTGGTTTCAGGAATTTGAAAGCTGTCAGACTGACTATCCAGGCTGAAAGCTTCTGTAATGGATGCCTACCTCAGGGTGATTTACAATTATAAAAGCGGACACTTGACAACAATAAATGATGATCCCTTTGAGGCAAAGAAATCAGATGATTCTGTGCTTTGCCCATCTTAARAAGTTCTTATACAGACTCAATGTCTCATGCATTGCAGGGGAGGTTTTAAATCTTGAAAACAAGGGACAGCATTACTCAACATCTGGGACATTTCTCTTTCAGTTCCTGTGAAAACATCCTAATGCTTAACCAAACTATGCACCTTTAAAAAAAAATCTATAGATGCTACAGCATCTAAATATATCTAAATAAATAGCCCAAATAAAATAAGGGGCTATAGCTAAAACATCTATACCAGCAGAGTCTTATGCCCAGACTCCCCAAGGCTGTATCACAAACAAGCAGGTTTCTCCTCTTTGCCAAGAATTTTTTGCACCRGGCAACTAGGTGCCCCGAGCTGCAGGGGCTGAGGCTGCAAATATCATTGCCACCCTTGTGAGCTAAGGTGGTGCCAAGTACGGCGACTAAACCGGCAAGAAAAGCAAGCCCTTTCTCTGCAGCATGTGCAGAAAAGACACTGCCTGACGAAGAGCAGCAGCATAAAAGGCAGCAGGCCTTAGGGATGAAAACAACACTTCTGATAAAAATCTCTTCATGTCTTCCTCCTAACATTAAACATTTTTTTTTTAACATTGCGTTTCAGGTGCTCTTAAGCTTTTAATCCTTGAGCTGAGTCCYGAAATCCAGGGGAGCTGGTGGATGATTACGCACCTTTTGCTCCTCTTGCTAAACTCTAGAGTATCTGTGCAAGTTTTCTTAAAGACCCAAAACAGTCTGCCCATACTGGACGAGACACCAACCTTGGTCTAAGTTGCCTTCAGCTACTCCTCCTTTGTAGCTTTGGACCTGCGTGCCAAGATGGACGGCAAGATGCTGCTTGTCCAGTGCTCCATAGCTTCTGCCATCTGTGCTCAGACACGAAGGAAGCAACAGTCAGACCCAAACAACGAGGGCTGAAGGCCAGCTGGGCACATCAGCAAAAGACAATGTCAAGTGATTGCAGCATTATACAAATTGGTAATAACCATGAAAAATAGTCTGTGCCAAGTAGCTAGATACTTAGTAGCTGTGACTGATCAGGTACGTGTTCAACTGTGGAACACAAACCCARCATCAAACCCCACAACATCATAGCAAAGACAGGAAATTGTAAAATTTGACTCATTTGTACATACTACAGAACTAGAAATAATTGAAAGTATGTTCTTCACTGAGAACAAAAAAAAAAAAAGAAATTCCTGGTGTTTCCTTTCCTTTGGCTCCTTGCCTAAGACAAACCTGAAAGCTGCACAACTACTGAAATGACGCTCCTTGCACTGTACTTACTGTTTGGATTTGGGACTGCAGAAACCAGGTCTTTGCTGTCAGGAGCGAGGGCGCCGTAGCTGGGGTGGTGGTGGTGGTGACGGTGGTGGTGATGGTGCCTTGCAGGCATTTTCGTGGTATAAGGCGCTCCACCGTTCTCCTCAATGTTGAATGGGTGCAGGTCACTGTTGTTCAAGGGATAGCTACAAAATAAGTCCCACTCAGATTAGAATATAGAAACAATAGAATAAACAGTACTTTTGGAGTCTCGARAATTCAAATTTTCTCAGGAAAAATCTGTATTTGTTTGTAATGAAACATATCCCAAATCTTTACATTTGTCCATCGACAGGAGATGTCTACGGTGAGAAAGGAAGATGCTTCCATTTTGCTTGCATGACCTTAATATCCAAATTCATTTCTATTTCACACACTACACAATCTCTGCTAGACCCTTACACTGACTCAAGTTCTAAATTAGTTATGGAATATGATTTACAACATCAAAACTTGCTCTGCAGGATTTTGCTACTTCACCTAGAACAGGAAAGCAGTCAAGCAACAAACTGTGATTCTTGTAACAGGAAAACATTAAATGAAAATGATGTTTTTTCCATTCTAGGTGAAGTGACAAAATCCTACAGAGCAATTTTTGAAGTTGAGAATCCTATTCCATAACTCAAATGAACAATGAAAGTAATAACTTCACATTCCTGAAAAAGCCTGAGCTTCCAATGTAGTGGTGAGAAGACTGTGAAAATAATGTAACTTGGCAAAAATGGGGAAAGATCCTTTGAAAAGGAACACTTTTACAGATGACAATATTTGTGCTGGTAAACTCTTTTGCAAATGTTTCGTTATGAGATTAACTATCACCAGTCTCCAATCCATAAAGAAATGGAGATCGTTTCAACTATTTTAATTCATCAACAGTAATTCAGAGGTACCAAATGACACGGTCAGTTTTCTTCATTAATGTTACCTATATTACTTCCATATGTTATTTGAAATGATGGTGAATGTCTAAAAATGCTCTTTTCTTTCAATGCCAACAACTAMAGTGATCATGGTAACTTTACATAGCTATTGCAAACAACAAATGTGCTTTTACTCAGTGAAGCGTTTACAATTTCTATGGTGTTCTAAGTTATAATATTGTGTTGTATTGGACACTAGCTGCAGCAAATTAATTCATTCACAAAAMCAGTCATCTCTCCCTTTGAAAAACACTGAAGAAATTATCTTTACCTACAGGGGTTTTCAGGCTGCATTTTATTTTATTTTTTACTAATAGTGGCTGAAAACCTGGCAACACAGACTAAAGGCAAATGGAATAATTAAAGGAACAAAGAACTAATTGCTACATATGTTCTCCGCAGATTATTTACTGACACAAAGAAAATGAGTCAGTCTTTTTCAAATAAACACATCTGTATCATTTCCAAAAATACGATGGAGGATACATCTTTGTACATCGCTAAATAACCACGGCTGCCTTAATACCTATGACAACACAACGTTTTTGACGGGATGGTAACTGAACAGCGCTTGGATGTCGGTCACTTCTCTGAAGGCGGGAGRCAGAAGGGAATGTTTTGTGTTCATCTTGGCAGGTTCCCGGCACGTAGCTACAACTGCCAATAAAGGCACTAACTAYCCAGGCCTTAAGGAAACAGCACAAATAGGGGTCAGATCCATAGGGGAAGGCCGTGGCGAGCTCAGACAACCCAGGCCTGGTCTGTCTTTTGGAACTGCACTACATCTACACCGTTATAACCGAATCGAGCGTGTGCCCCCCGGGGCACAGGGGCACAGGCTAACCAGATTGCACAGTAATTGTAGGAGCTCTCCTGCACGCTCCCTTTGAGCTGTCTGGGCTGAGGAGACATTATTTGACTGAGAGAACAGCTAGTTTTGTTCACGCAATTAATATCCGTATCGGAAGTAAGAACAGATCTGGGCTGGAGCCTCAGCGCTCCAGCTTTTTGCAGTCTGTGATTCAATGTTTTGTAAGACACAGAACTTGCTATAAAATCACGATATGGTTAGGGAGCACACGCCTCAATTCCACCGTCTGGCAAGCTGCTGAATGTCTTGGTTAGCTGCTTTCTAACCAGTCTTTTTACAATTAGTGAAACCACATCAAATTCTTAGCCCTAGATTCCTCAGATTGCTGTGGGCATGAGGTAACTTCTGCACTAGAACAGGCTAAATAAATAACCTGAGGACCTGAGTGAGCAGAACAGGCTCCGGCACGAGGGAGAACACACACCAAACTCTCCAGATGTCCCTCCTGGCTGTCCTAACAGCAGTGCTCACACCATGCAGGGAGATCAGGATGTCAAAGAACTAAAGAGCWGGGCCAGCAAAGCTCCTGTTGGGCATACACTGAAATCCTCGAGGACAGTAAGTCACAAAGCTCCAGGCAGCAGACTCTGGTGCGGAAACTAGCAACCTGGTTAGAGAACAGAGTCACCTGCACTTTCTGGGGGTTGACAGTAGCTGACAGATATTGAGGCAGCTCAGGCTCAGCTGTCTTTTCTGCTTCTGATGGAAGCGAGGAAGACTTTCACATTCCTTTGCTCCCTCCTYCCCAGGAGCTCTTGGGAAATTCAGTATTAGACCGAGAAGTCACTGCAAAATTAGARACTATGTGGCTGGCAGCAGGTTTGGACCCAGTATACTAGAAAAACTGACACTACCCAAAGAAAAATTTTGCATGAGTAGTCCCAATCTCCATTTGGTGCATCCTGTACTATGTAATTTAGGAGAACGTAGGATCCTGACATATGCAGTACAGTTTCTTCGCGGTATTACCACTATTTGGCAGTCATGTTGCACCTTTTTTCCACTTTTTTTTTAATAATATTCTTCACCATCTTAAATCTAGATGCTTTGGATTTCTTCTTCCCCAATGCATCTTTTTTGCCTTTAAGCTTTTTTTTTTCTCTACTGCTTTTTTCTAGTTGACTTACCTGAATGGATGTTGTGCTTGTGCATACTCCCCAGCCCATCAACGGGAATGAATCATTCATGTCAATGAGCAATATTCTGAGCATATCCTCAACTCTCCAGGTTTCATACACAGAGATCAAATTATGCTCTTAAACTACGTGCACAGATGGGCAGGTATCAATTTTGAACTTTTAGCCTCYCAGTATGCCATTCTTTCATCTTCATTTTTATAGCAGCCAAGTGACTAGCCTGCAGATTTCCCCTTTCATATGCCTAGTTTTCTCAACAAGCTCCAACCGCTTCCTATTACTCTTGTCTGACAAGGGAAAAGACACAGTGCCCGACAGTTCTCTAAAGGAAGAGACCATTTCTTCCTTCTCTGTCCCTCCTTCAGCCAAAATACTCCTGAGGATCCCGTTACCCCCAGGCTCAACTTCCAGCAAAGTCCAAAAGACACCTGGTACTGCYCTTAGCCTCAAACTCTCACAATTGTTTTCTTCTGACCAAAAGGCAGCATCTTAAGGAAGAGGGTAAATAATATACATCAGGTTATTTTTTTTTTCAATGTAATTTACATTATTTGTCCTCTAACCTAATAGATACTATTATCCCATTAAAACAACTCAACATTTGTTCTAAAAGATATTTTCATTTCACATTTTTATGTTTCATAKGCTGCAGATATGTACTGCCTTACCAAACAATTCTTCTCTAGTGCACAACGCACACATACAATACTGCTAGGGAAGCATAGAAAAATATGGAGAAAAAAAGAAAAAACTAAAAAACAAACTAACAAATTTGGAATGAAGGCTTAAGGACATTGGAAGACATTTTTTGGGTTTTACCCTAAATGTCTACTGCAATTTAAACCTGTTATTTTCTGTCCCATCCATCACATGGAACAGATTATTTCTTGCTACATAAAATCTGTATTTTTTTAAAAGAACATTTTCACATCTCCCTTCAACTTTCCCAGGCTTGAAAAGCTCTAAATTATTCAGTCGTTTCTCGTAGGTCACACATTTTCAAGAGCCCTGATCGTTCTTGCTGTTCCCTTCTGCACATTGACGCTCTGCCTCTGAAATGTGGTGCACAGAGCTACACACATTATTGCTGCTGAGGCCTTACCAATTCATGGCAAAGAGGAAAGGGCCCTTCCCACRTCCTGGGGAAGCTATTCCAGTTAATACACTGAATCATGACCTTGGCTCTTTCCTCAAGACCGACAGATTCTTCTCTCAAGTGGCCAGGTTTCCTCCCCTCCGCAACCCAGGGCAGGATTACGAACACACTATCATTCTTTCTGCTCTGCATCCTAAATCTTTTCACACCCTAAAATCATAATCCATTTGAAACCTGTTCTCTCATTCGTGACAAGCTCGCTGCAAAAGGACCTCCCACTTTGGTGTAATCCGTGGGTGATACACATCTTTAATAAAAATAATTGTCCTTTTGCACCATCCTCGCTTTCCTGCAGGATGCAGCTGGGCAGACCTGCATAGACATCCCTCCCGTGTGTCCCAGAGCAAGCCTGCTCCTGCACCCACCAATGCCGCCTCCTTCTACACCCTTCTGCGGGAGCAGAAAGCAGCCTCCAGCCCCTGTGAGCTTCGACCCCAATACAGTTGAATTATGGCTTACAAACAAAGCAAAAAAGGCTCCTAGATGAGGGTGTGATTATTTTTTCAACGGCCTTCAACAGGTTTCACACTCATCTCTGTCCCTTGCTTTGAACATGGCTTCTGCCCAGAACTACTGCAATTTTTGTGTTTAAAAACCCAGGCACCTTAGAATAAGTGTCTCTCAAAGCCCTCTGAATCCTTCCCTCAGCCACAGCAAGGCTCTCGGTAACTTCTGCAGCCTTCAACAGCTCACATCCACACTGCASGTGCCGAGAGGCTCCCCCACTCGCTTCACTCCTCAATAGGAGACACGTCAGCCACCACCACTTCCAGCAATACCTGCTCCCACATCCAAAGGGCTTGCAGACATACTTCCTAACGGCAGCCAGGGGAGTTAATAACCATTTTTTACCACACCAAGGAGAAGTCTAACAAAGGCAGCCCTTGCATGTTAAGCTTCAGCATGGCAGTTGTACCATGTACCATGGCTTAACAGCCATATTGTGCCAAATACTCTGCTTTTGGTTTTAGTCTCTTCCTTTGGCAGGGAGGGAAAAAAAAAAAAAAAAAAAAAAAAAGATGGTTTTGGACTTATTCCCCATCCATGTTTCATAAGAAGTTAA